CTGCCTTCTGAGCGTATGGTGTCTATGACATTGGGAAATAGGCTTGACCCGACCTGCGGGTCCTAGTTATTCGTGGGGGCGAGGAGGACCACAACCTGAAAAAAGAACGGGCGAGAGAGAAGAAAGGACTCAAGGAAGCAATTGCTTGTCAAGAGTTGTATATTTGAGGGCTGGAGAGATGGCTCAGTGGTTAAGCGCACTGACTGGACTTCCAGAGGTCCTGAGTTCAAATTCCAGCAACCACATGGTGGCTCACAACCATCTGTAATGAGATCTGATGCCCTCTTTTGGTGTGTCTGAAGACAGCTACAATGTATTCATATATAATAAATAAATCTTTAAAAACAAAAAACAAGCCGGGCGGTGGTGGCGCACGCCTTTAATCCCAGCACTTGGGAGGCAGAGGCAGGTGGATTTCTGAGTTCGAGAGTTCGAGGCTAGCCTGGTCTACAGAGTGAGTTCCAGGACAGCCAGGGCTACACAGAGAAACCCTGTCTCGAAAAAAAAAAAAAAACCGAAAAAAAGAAGAAGAAAAAAAATAAAAACAACAAACAAACAAACAAACAAACAAAAAGAGTTGTGTATTTGAACGTGAAGCCCCTTTTTATAGTATGCTTTACAAGGGGAGGGGGTAAGAGGGGCCAGGTGGTGGAAAAGTACAGAATCTTCATGTCCTGTGCCCTGAAACATTTCATGGTCTACAGGGTACACTACCTTGAATTATGATCTACCTGCTATTCTTCAGAAGATATGGTACACTGCTTTGAGTCTATCTGCAGCTGCCAGGCAGGATCTTGCAGTTGCCAAGCTGCAGGGGACATTGTGCAGGTGGGGAAAGGTAAGGGGTGAGGATAAGGGTGAGGGTCCTAGCTTCTGGCATAGGCTTAAGACCCAAATTCTTACAGATTAGACTAGAGTGGCTAGCTTGGATCCTAGCAAGCCATCTATTTTCACCTCCCCGTTGCTGGGGTCATATAAGCACCTGCCATTGTGCCCAATTCTTTAATGACACTGGGGATCCAATCCAGGCCCTCAAGCTTGCAAGGCAAGCATGTCTGCAACTGAGCCCCCCATCCTAGCTCTATAAAGTCTACTCTGAGGTATAGTTTTAGGTACTGCATGGCTGTTTTGATGAACTTTTCTGTCAGAGACTCATGCTATGTCCTACTAAGATTCGTCTCTATTTTTCCCTGTTTTTCCCAGTTGTGTTGTGTCAGCTCTGACATGCGCATTTGTCATTTTATTGCTGGCCCTGCTGCCACTTTAAGGAGTCACTATAGGTAGGGACCTTCTCTTGCTCACAGTGAGAGTAGGCCTTGTGGTAGCCCTCTGGAGGTAGAGATAGGCAAGTGGATCTCCAGGCCAGGCAGGGCTAGGACATGAAATGGGAGGGGGGGAATGGATGGGAGTGGTGGGTTAGAGAGAGAAGTAGGGGGAGGATTCAGGAGGAGAGAAGAAAAGAGACAGCTTCAGTGGACAGTATGAGGGGCCCGACAGAGAGAGGGAGAGAGATATAACACCATCAGAGAAATCTCTTACAACTTCCCCAGGAGGTGAGGCACCTGACCAGAACCAAAGCCAGCTTGGCAATCCAGGAGAGCTGTTTGCTCAGAGTGGCAGAGCAAAGGAAGGACACTTACCTACAAGTCCCTGCTGCCTCCATAGAAAGTAAAGAGTTGCCGGGCGGTGGTGGCGCACGCCTTTAATCCCAGCACTTGGGAGGCAGAGCCAGGCGGATTTCTGAGTTCGAGGCCAGCCTGGTCTACAGAGTGACTTCCAGAACAGCCAGGACTATACAGAGAAATCCTGTCTCAAAAAAGGAAAAGAAAAAAAAAAGAAAGAAAGAAAGTAAAGAGTCGTGTGCACAGGAATCACGTCTGATTTCTGAGAGGAGGGGAAGGCAGCCAGGTGTGGCCCCCAACTTTTCCAGCCTTTTCATTTGCATAACAAACCAAATAGAAGAATGTTTCTACACAGAAGGGAGGGAGAGGGGGAGCCGCTGGGCCGATGGGTGTCAGGATTCAGGGATTCAAATGCTTCTTAGTATCTTTCAGAATCCCTTCTGTCTCTCCTGATGACCTGTGACCCTGACATTCAGCCTCGTCTTCATCAGGTCTAGGGATGAGAGCCTAGCCACATGGGATGTGAGAGGATATTGCCACAGACAGACACGTGACTTGTGGCTGCAGAACTGTCAGCTCCAGTCCCACACAGCAGGAAGCCAGGCCTGTGTGTCCTAAGTCCAACAGGTGACACCAGCGACTGAGAGAATGCTCCAGGTCCAAAGCCAGAGACCATCTTGGGATATTTCGCCTGTGTAGCAGCCAGTGTGTCACCTACCTCTGTGTGTGACTTGGTGTTCTTGTTGGGGCTCCAAAACTGCTAGACAAAATTAACTATCAGGATATCTATATGATGCCAACTCTTTCCCTCTTATGCCTTCCCCATGGCCTCTCTTAACCTACCTTAAATATATATATATACATGTGTGTTTATATACATATATATGTATATAGACTTTTTATATGTATATAGACCTTACATATATGTATATAGACCTTATATAGAGGGACCTTATATATACCTTATATATCTATATGCACCTTACATGTGTATATATCCTATATATAAATACCACATATACATACCATATATATCATATATTTGAGATATATATCACATACACACATATACATATACAAATACATATACATATATTACACACCCTTTGGAGCACCTCCTACTGAGCTCACCTATCTTAAAACATTTCATTTGGAAACTTTGTGCCAGGCAGTGGTGGCGCACGCCTTTAATCCCAGCACTTGGGAGGCAGAGGCAGGCAGATTTCTGAGTTCGAGGCCAGCCTGGTCTACAGAGTGAGTTCAGGACAGCCAAGGCTACATAGAGAAACCCTGCCTCGAAAAACCAAAAAAAAAAAAAAAAATTTTTTTTACCAGAAATCCTGAGGGTCTTTTATGTACCTCCTGACCTATATTTGTGATGAGTCCCTCAAATGATGGAGTTTGTTTGTTTTGGGGGACAAGGTCTTACTACCTAACTCTGGTTGCCTTGGAACTCACAATGCAGACCAGGCTGGCCGGGGATTCACAGAGATCCCCCTGTGTCTGCTGGGTGGGACTACAGGACTAAATCCTCACAACCTTAAACAACCTTTTGACCTGTAGGCCGCTCTCTAGACAGCCAGAACTACACAGAGAAACCCTGTCTCGAAAAAACCAAAAAACCAAAAAAAAAAAAAAAGAAAGAAAAAAAAAGAGTTGCCTTGGTCATGGTGTCTCTTCACAGCAATGGAAACCCTCACTAAGACAATGACTAATTACTGTCTTTGTTCTTGAGATTTGTAGCCTTAAAAAGCATCTGTGAGTGGATGTTTAGGACCAGGTCTTCCTCCCCCTGGCTGGTACATAATAAACAATTTTTTGCTGAGGTTCCAAGTTGCAGTGGTAGTAAGCGTCCCGATTAGAGTGCTCAGACCTCATCTGAGTCCACTTTTCTGTATGTGTGTCTGTGTGTCTGTCCTGTATTCCCTCACCTCCCCTAGGTGGGGCTTCAGCACTCAAGCTAAAAGCAGGACTTAACATATACACATATGTATAATTAGATATATTTACTGTGTGATATGTAAGTATAGTCTGACAGTTAATATTAGTAGTTTAAGATAGCTTGCCTAAGTTAAAGAAACTGAGATGACTCTAAAAATTTCGGCCATAACACTGATGTGTTATGTGTTATCTTTTTTTGTTGTTGTTATTCAGTAAAATCTGTTGTGGAAAGTACAGACTTGTCTGTGTTTCTGTCATAGTGCTTAGACATGTCCTCTCCCACTCCAGATGCTCATTCCTCTTCAGTCAGACTTTGGACAACCTGTCCCTCCATCTTTTCTTTTTCTTTCTTTTTTTTTTTTTTTTTTTTTGGTTTTTGGAAACGGGGTTTTTCTTGAAGCCCTGGTTGTCCTGGAACTCACTCTGTAGACTAGGCTGGCCTCGAACTCAGAAATCCGCCTGCCTCTGCCTCCCAAGTGCTGGAATTAAAGGCGTTCGCCACGACTGCCGGCCAGCATCTAGCTTTTCAAAGCATCTAGCCACCTTCCTTGCCTGACGCTTTGCTCCTGGGCTTAGGTGGCCTATGGTGTGGCAATGAACTGGGAAAGTTACGGCGACACGAAGTCCAAATGTCCACTGGTCTTGGGAATTTTCCCAGCAAGTCATCAGACTTGTGATGGTCTTGGGAAAACACCATGATCACACCAACGAAATCTGTGATTGTTTTGTATTCTAATCTGACATCTCAGAACTTAGGCTATATGGAAAATTTCCCAATTGTGTCCCAAATGATTGTCACATTTCTTGAACCAGGGCACACTCAAGTTTTGCACACTCACCCTGCTTTCTCTAGTGTGTGTATTTGCCTGCCCACCAACAGGATAGGTGGCCTACACTTTGTTCCATAATCTGGATCATCACAGCTTTCTAGCTTTTCTCTGTTCAGGAAAGCGGATGCTTTCCAAGAGGCTTGGTGGGGTGGATTTCCCTGGGGACTTGGGTATTAGGGATATGATAAGATGTTTTGGGTAAAGCTCGCAGTTTTCAGCAGTGTACGGTTTATCCTCCCTTAACACGACTCAGGATGCCGAGTAAAAGGCAGCTCCACGCAGCCCTGTATAGCTGAGTGTTGCAGTTGAGGACAATCTGGGCCAAATCAAGATTTTCTTGTAATGCAGCCACTCCTGTTGCAGTAAAGAGAAGACAATGCTTTGACCCTCCCAAGAAACAGAGATGTCGCAGCCTGACAGGAGGCCACCATCTTCCCTGCGGGGTGCAGTTACGCTTCCCGGCCACTGAGAGGCGGTAGCGCACGCCGGCATCGTCCAGGACGTTTGACGTTTAGCAGCGTTGTGTCGCCTCCGTGTGACGTCGCGGCGGTGTCGTGCTGGCGTGACGCGACGCGTGTCGTCACGCGAGCGCCCCAGCGGCAGCGACGAGTGCGTGGTCTCGGGGGTTCTCTTCACCATGGTTCCCGGAGTGCCGCTCCCGCCGGAGGTCCAGCTGGCGCAGCGCCTGGCCGGCAATGAGCAGGTGACGCGGGACCGCGCGTTGCGGAAGCTGCGGAAGTACATCGTGGCCAGATCGCAGCGGGCGACAGGTACGCGAGAGGGAGGGAGGGCGGGCGAGCTCCGCCTCGTGGGCCCCGCAGGATCCGGCCTTCGTCTGCGATTCTCCTGGCTCAGGCCGACCCGATCGGACTGCGCGCTTTCCCTCCTTCTGGAGCTTGTTGATGCTCTTCCGCGGGCCCTGTGTCCTTAACGGAGTGTCCTCTGTCAACGACACTCCGTTCCCAGGACGTGCCTTTTGCCGAGCGGTTTCAATGCATCTGGTCCTCAGTGAGCGACCCTCCCCCCCGTCAACAACCTCTGCGTCTCTTGGGTATCCCACCACAGATGCAAATTTCTAGATTCCCTGAGCAGTGGTTTGGCCAAGGCCACGGATGTATGCTTTAGGAAGTGTCCCAGGGCAGTTTTCTACGCCCTAGTCAGAGAACCCCATCTTGGGGAAGGCGTCTCAGTACATCATGATGATGTCATCTTACTAGCCTGAATGAATAGCTTTCACCGTTTAATCTCTGAAATGTAACAGAATAGCTACAGTTCCTTGGTCTAACACTGGCTTCGTTAATCACTGCATTAATTAATTAATTAATTAATCACTGGCCATCATCCAGTCCTCAAAGTGTTGCGATTCTTAATTTTAACCCTGTGGGACTGATACCTGCCTGCTGGTGCATGAAGCTACTGGGGGGAGCTCCTCCAGGCACAGGTATGGCAGTTCTGTTGGAGAATGATTTGAGGGAGGGGCTGGTTGCCCAATTATATTTTTTTTTTTTT